ATTATAATGCATTTGCAGGAAATTTGGCATTTTAAACGAAATATTAAGATATCTATTTATGTGCCATTTACCGCGAAAGGGCTGAACATTAAAATAAAACTACTATGACTTTTATGTAAACATCGTACATATTTAAAAAAAACTTTATGTTCTCATTTGTTAAATGTGCTTTATATGCATGTACAAATAAACATTGTGCACAAAAAGTAAAAAGTTGCGCTCGGGTATAAAAATTACCAAGAATCAACGCAAATTTTTAGAAACTTGAAACGCCTCGGCTAAAATTTAATGGGCTAAATTTTTTTTTAAGTTTAAGATTTTTATGAAAATTTTTTCCATTACTATAAGTTTTATAAAAAGTTTGAGAATCGGATTTATGTACATAGTGTTTGCTATAGAGTATGATATACATATTTTTATAAAAAAATTCCTTATGCTAAATAAACTTTCAATATTGCATAAGTTTGCACTAGAACTAAATTTCTACCAGAACCTATTTAAATTCGAATTAGACCTTTTAAAATGTTTAATTAATTTGTAATAGTCTGTAAGAGTATCTCTGTAGGCGAATAAATAAATTTACATAACTTGCGTAGTGTAGGAAAATTAAAACTATCGATACTATCGCTAGTACTATCGATAGTTTTGCACTTCCACTGTTTTCCGTCTTACAATTCAAAAGTTGTTGTCCACACTATTTTGTGCTCACTTTTCGAGGGCATTATCATTTATCCACCATTCGAGTGCCAATTTTTAACTTCAGCTATCGAATGATTTAAAATCAGTGATGCTCAAAACAGCGCCCGCGGGCGGAACACTTCAAAGCTCTCTGCAGATTTTATATGGCCGTGCACATAGTACAAACTCTCTCTGAGCGTGACTGACTTAGGTACATACATACATACATATGTGTATGTCCAGTTTTCAAACGGACAAAAATAAATGTCCAGTTTTAAAATGTTCAAACTTTTTTCAATTTTGAAATGATTAGCAATTTGTGTTATTTTTTTATATGACCAAAANAAATTTACATAACTTGCGTAGTGTAGGAAAATTAAAACTATCGATACTATCGCTAGTACTATCGATAGTTTTGCACTTCCACTGTTTTCCGTCTTACAATTCAAAAGTTGTTGTCCACACTATTTTGTGCTCACTTTTCAAGGGCATTATCATTTATCCACCATTCGAGTGCCAATTTTTAACTTCAGCTATCGAATGATTTAAAATCAGTTATGCTCAAAACAGCGCCCGCGGGCGGAACACTTCAAAGCTCTCTCTAGATTTTATATGGCCGTGCACATAGTACAAACTCTCTCTGAGCGTGACTGACTTAGGTACATACATACATACTATGTGTATATCCAGTTTTCAAACGGACAAAAATAAATGTCCAGTTTTAAAATGTTCAAACTTTTTTCAATTTTGAAATGATTAGCAATTTGTGTTATTTTTTTATATGACCAAAAATTATGTCCAGTTTTAAAAACCCAAAAATGCATGTCTCGTTTTTTACATGATCAAAAATTTATGATCAGTTTTTGAATTACTAAAATTTACGTCCTATGAAAATTGCTCAAAAATTCATGTATCATTTTATCTGACATCAAATTAAGATTTTAAATAACTAAAACTGTATATTCAGTTTAAAACTACCGAAAATTATACATATACAGCTTTAATTGCTCAAAAATTTATGTCTTTCTTTTTATGTGACCAAAAATTCAGATTATAATTGAATTAAAATATACACATGTCCGGTTTTAAAATGACCAAAAAAGTATGTGCAATTTTAAAATAATCAAACATTGTGTTCAATTTTTAAATAATCAAAAATTTATGAACAGTTTTTAAATGAAAAAAAAATAATATGTTCCGTTTAAAATTCTCAAAAATTCGTGACTTTATATGAAAACGAATTCAGATTTTATATTACTAAAAATATATATGTATGTATCTGTCCAGTTTAGTCAGAAATGTATGACCATATTTTAAATTACCATAATTATGCCTTAAAAATTCCCACAAATGAATGTCTCGCGTTAAACTTACCAAAAATTTAAATTTTAAATTACTAAAAATTTTTATCCAGTTATAAAATTACCAAAAATTTATGTACTGTCACTTGTCAGCTCTGACATTTATCGTATTCAATACATCGAAGCTTTGTATAGAATTACGAGAAAATCTAAATACAAATTCTTCAAACGACAAACATTTTAAAAAAATTTTTAGATTTGATCTGACCCCATTTATTTTCCCTGCTACCACTAATCTTTTTAAATAAATTTTCTACTTACAGCCGGCGCCTGCTGGCGTTCGTCCCAAAGTAATGGCAAATGTAGCGAGATTTATTTGCGGAATAGCACTAAGGCGGAGTGTTGTCGATATTCAGAGCTATTCTACACTGACCGAGATGTAACAGACGTGGAATTATTTTTTGCGACCACCATTGGTGATGGCATGACCTGCTCACCCTGTGCTTGTAAGTATAAGGGGATATATGTACGTACATGCATCGATACCAAAAGTACTCAGAACTCGATTCTAGTTTTGGAGTACTCCAAAGAACTCAGTACTCACAAAAGAACTCAAAAGTACTTAGTACTCAAAAAAGGAACTCCAAAGTACTCAGTACTCAAAAATACTCTGTTCCAATAATCGCTTTGATACATATACTCAGGATCGATCAAAGTACTTAGTATTAAGTGTCGAATAGAATTAAAAAGTACTGAGTTTTATTTACATTTAACGGTATTCAGAAATGATTGTACTCAATTTGCAGTTGCAATAATTTTCAGTACAGTTAGCCATTCATATGACGTAATATGGGAATTATATATTAATTTGAATAAAATACTGCCAGCTTGTGAGATTTCTACACTAAGTATTGAAATGTTACAAACATGCGGATATTTAAAGAAAGTAAGACTCAGTACTCTGAAAAATACCCGATCCTTAAAAGTATCGATACCAAAGAACTCGATCCTCAAAAGTACTCAATACTTCCCAGCACTAGCACATACATACATATGTAGAATGTTCAGTATTTATCTAAAACACACACACTGTGCTTCCATAACCATTTGTTTTTTGGACATGTGTCTCATATCGAGCCCTAACCCCCAAACTAACATAAACGACATTTTTACCAAAATTTTCATTTTGATGCAGAAATTAATCTAGATGCTCTAGGAATATTTTTGCATCACAAAGAAAAATTTAAAAAAATGTCGCTTACGTTATTTTGGCGGTAAGGGCTCGATATGTACACATAGTATATCCAGCCCTCACCGCCAAAAATACGTAAGCGACATTTTTTCACAATTTTATTTTGGATGCAGAAATGCATCTGGCTGCTGCAGGAACATTCTTGCATCATTAAGAAAATTTTGAAAAAACTATCGCTTACGTCTTTTTGGCATTTAGGGTTCGATACTTTTATGTACATATGTATTTATTCATAGCCAATCACTTATTTCAATTTCAGTGAGCTGCAAGAGCATGCAATGCAGTTGGAATAAGAAATGCGTCAAGCGCAAAGGCCGTCCAAAGTGTGTCTGTGCACCTGAATGTGGGGCGGCTAAGCGGCACAAGCAACGAAGCCAACAGAGGACCTTTCGCGGACACGAACCACACAGCGAACAATTGCGGCTGAATAGGCACATAGTACTAGGAAGCGATGGCATCAGCGGCGGCCGCGCTGGTGGTGGTGGTGTGGTTGGCAAAGCAGGCAACGGAGCCGGTAGCGCTACATCGACGCTGTTCGGTGAAGGCAAGTCGCCACGCGACATACGTAGTTTAAGTAGTGAAATTACAAATGTTAATTTAGGTGTCGAACACCAATTGCAAATGCAACAACAAAACCAAAGAAAAATGATTATAATGCAAAGTCAAAGCCAACAGAAGCCTCAGTTAAGTAGACGAGTGGAGAATTCGGGAAGACTTTTGATAACGGCCAATGCCGAGCATGACACAGAGAAACCCGTCCAGCGACGATTACAAATCTTTAGCAATATAAGAACGAATAGCAGACATCACAAGAGCTTCGACGATGACTTCAACAACGGTGATGAAGACGATGGTGACGAAAGTGCAGAGGGTGTGGATGCTGAGGACAGAGAAGTTGATGGCAACAATGAAGATGCTGATAATGATGGTGATATTGATGATTGGTTAGACGATGGCAGCGAAGAAGCATCTTCCGGCAACCATCGCCGGAGTAGCGATGATTCAGCAAGAACGCCAACGGCACCGCCGGAGTCACGACGAAGCTTAAACTTGCCGTCTAGACATAAAACCAATAAAAATTCGAATCACAACAAAAAAAGAAGGTTGCATGAGAATGAAATGGAGGTTAGCAAGCGCCAACAGGAGAATAGCAACAACAATAATTTCGCCATAATTAAACGTTTTCAGCTAGCCGCGTTACAACCGTCAGCTTCGTCACGAGTAACGGCAACAACAGCAGCAACGTCAAATGCTAGACAACTCGAAAACGCTCCAAATCACGATGAGATGTCGCTGGCGGCAGGAGGAGGCATTCTGAACGGTAATAGCGCTAACAATAACAACAACAACAACAACAACCATAAGACCAATAGCAACAGTAGGAATAACGTTAATGGCGGCAGACAACGTGAACGTCATCACCATCATCAGCAGCATCAACAGCAGCAGCTGCAACGTAAACGCAAACATCACCAGCATCAGAAGCAACTACAACAACAACAACATCAGCAACAAGAGCAACAACAGAAGCAGCAGCAGCAGCAGCAGCAGCAGCCGCCCCATCAGCAAAGTGACCATCAACACAATCATCGCGCGCATAAAAAGCACAAAAAGCTGAAGGATCACAATGCAAACAACAATGGCAACAACGTGCGCACGCGTACATCGTCTGCAACATCCTCGCTGACAGCGCACAGCGGTGATAGCATAATGCCAGCAACCACAATAGCAACAACAGCAACAGCAACAGCAACGGCAATGACAACAACTGCTGTGCCAACTACAATGGACTGGCAGACAACAGCTGCTACCGCCACTCCCGTAAATTCCATGTCGCCGTCTGACGATCGTCGTTTATTAAATCACGGAAGTCATATAGCAAAGTCATCGCCATCGTTGTCGTCGTCGTCGTCGTCGTCGCTAGCAACAAAACAAGAAAAACTTAGCACTTCGTCGGAAGCATTTTTTGGTGGAGTTGTTTCTGCTGACGTTGGCAAATCATTTCGCAATTCCGATGACTCGACACTACTCGATGGAATTTACGATAATTTCAATGTTTACGGATTCCCAAATCGCCAATTCGAAGTTGCGGTGAGTTTTAAAATTTTTTATTTTTTATTTTTTGCATAGTTTTAGCTTTAGTCGTGTCTGGAAGGAACCTGCTGAAAGGTAGAAAACTTTGACTTGGGTTGTGTTTGGGTTTATTTTTGCATAAGTTATTCACAATTTGTGTATGTACATTAGGCTGGCTCGATTTCGTATGGGGGAAAAATCAAAACTATTCTTTATTTTGGTTTAGGACTAAGGAAATAGTAATTGGCAAAAAAAAAATAAAACAACGCTTATTTTACCGCGCAATTGATGCAAAGCACCAGAGCCTTTACAAACCATTTGACCCCAGCGAAGCATCAGCATGATTTTCGTAAACTGCAAAGCACAACAACAACACTTATCGCCATAAACAGCCAGATAACTCGTGGCTTAAACCACAACCGCCCCTGTGAGTAAACAGTCCTAGTAGCGTTTGACACCATTTGTCATTCAACGCTACTAGAAAGATATTGACGCTGCCTCTCTTCCACAGGGACTCAAACGGCGGCCGGCGAAGTACATATCGACTGCTGAGTGGAAGANAGCATAGTTTTAGCTATAGTCGTATCTGGAAGGAAACTGCAGGAAAGAAGAAAAATTGCACTTGGGTTGTGGTTGGGTTTTTTTTGCATAAGTTATTCACAATTTTTGTATGAACATTAGGCTGGCTCGATTTCATATGGAGGAAAAATCAAAGGTATTCTTTATTTTGGTTTAGGACTAAGGAAATAGTAATTGGCAAAAATAAAAATAAAAAAAATAAAACAACGCTTAGTTTACCGCGCTATTGATGCAAAGGATCAGAGCCTTTACAAACCATTTGACCTCTGCGAAGCATCAGCATGATTTTCGTATAGTGCAAAGCACAACAACAACACTTATCGCCATAAACAGCCAGATAACTCGTGGCCTAAACCACAACCGCCCCTGTGAGTAAACAGTCCTAGTAGCGTTTGACACCATTTGTCATTCAACGCTACTAGAAAGATATTGACGCTGCCTCTCTTCCACAGGGACTCAAACGGCGGCCGGCGAAGTACATATCGACTGCTGAGTGGAAGATCGAGCTATCTCGGCAGCCAGTTCGAAAACGCCCTATCTCAAAAAACTTTTCAAGAACGCCCTATTTCAGAATTTTATTGAAAAACACTCTATCTCAGAATTTGGTTGAAGAACGCCCTATTTCAGAATTCGATTCAAAAATACTTACTTACTTCAAAATGCCTGAGCTCCACCTGTACAGCGGGGCCTAAATGCTTCCCGTAAAGGAGCATAACAAAATGCTTAGCAAGCAGTTTCTGGTGGCATTTCACAGACGTTAGCACCTCAACAGACCCTTGCTCGAGGAGGAGCCTCCGCCCAGACGCATCAGAGGGCGCTTCAACTACCAAGAGAGACCCGGCGTTCCTCTGGCCCCGTTACGGTCAGGTAGCCGCCTCAACAGCTAATGAGTTTCCGGCATGTGGAGACTCCCCGTACGACACCAACCACGTCCTCATATGCCAGCTCAATCCCAATGAATAGCGTAACCCGAGTTTACATTTTCTCTGTCAAAGTGCTCAATTACTCCAGGTCCCCAGGGGTCTGTAGAGAGGGGAAGAGGAACTTTTCTTAAAGGTTTTTACAATGCGGTTATGGCAAGGAGTATTCTACGTAAAAATTCGCCAAATAAATTATAGGTCTAAAATGAATTTCGAGCACACCAAACTATTTTCTTCGGAAAAATTCTCTTAGAATATCACGTAGAATACTCCTATGCCGCAGCCGCATAGTCGAAAAAAATTTCCCATACAATTGACCTATCCTAATGCATATGTGCACACAAAATATGTATGCATACGCAATCTAAAATTTATTTTAATCTAATATAATTTTGATGTTTTTAATAGGTAGAAAATTTCCATGGGCCACATCCAGTCTGCGGCACAGATGGTCGCACCTATAATACGGAATGTCAATTGAAGAAACGAGCGTGCCGCACCAATAATCCGTCGCTAACTGTTGCCTATCGAGGACATTGCCGAAGTAAGTTTCATGCCAAGTACTTATGACTAATTTCCACTAGGCATTGAAATGACAAAAATTACGACAAAAATTTCTAAGAATAAAATAGTGCCATGTGAAAACAGACTCTAGTAAATTTTTTTTAACATCATTAAAGATTTTGTCATTTAATGCACAGTTGAAATCCGGCATTATAGCAATTTCTTCTTTCTAAATATATGTGTGCATTCAACGCATATAGTATATTGTTACTTTACTATCACAGTTTTCTTCTTCTTTACTTTAAAACCGTTGGATAAAATAAAAAAAATACTAACAGTAGCCTGTATGTATATGGATCAATCCACTCGGGAAAATCAAAAAGTTGATTTTTTCAATGTAAAAAGACCTGATCTTTCGATTAAGATGACTAAAAACAAAATTAAAAATGGCCATAATTGAGAAAAATTACAAATAAATTTTTGTTTCAAATTTTCACCATGAAAATGGGAAAATTTTCGAAAACGTCAGATTGCCCGTACAAAAATCTAGAGAAATCATATTTTTTTTTAAATTTGGGTTGCCATTTTTTATCTGATTCCCAGCTAGTCGAAAAGTAGCTTGTTTTGCACCGCTCATTTGCCCATTGATAAGACATTAGAAGTGTGACGCAGCAATATTGGAGCAATTGTTTTGGTAGTACCAAGCGCAACCAATTTCTTTTTCATTTATTTTTTGCCCTATCCCCAGCTGTTATCCACATTTCAGAAATATTTACTATATCTTTGTTATAATATAGGAAAATGTCATTATCTTTGAGTGAATTACGACTACAAAATACAGCAATATGACAAGCGACTAGACTTGGAAAAGTGGCAGATCGGGTCCGAATGGTGTTAAGTCATAGTCAAACTGTGGCTACTTGGAGAGCAACGATGCAGACAACGATGACTAAGTCTCAGCTTTTATGTATGATTTCCCATCAATCACGCAGCGAGTGAATATTATTTTATATTAAGGAGGTACGCAGGATCTCACCAAGACTAGTCGGTTATGATATTCCTGCTAAGAGAAATCTGGCTCGATTAACAAGGCGATCTGCTTAATATTCAGATAACGGGCAGAGATATTCAGAATTTTGGCAACCATCACGGATCACTGACAGCCCCAGTAAACATGTGGCAGGAAGAGCACTTATCTATGAACAATATTATAGAAGTTGTAGCAGCCGTCAGTGAAGAAAGTGTCCAGCATTTGCTGTGTGAATGTCCAGGCCATTCGAATATTAGATACAAAACGCAGAAAATACATATCCCTAGTGATTAACAACTAAGAGACCTAGTGGACAAATCTATCAGAGAATCAGGGCAAAACATTTCCCATGGGAATTGCATTAAAATGGCGCAAAAAGCCCTCGACTTGAGTACCCAGCTGTATAGGTGGTAAAATGGTTGCCGAGGATTTCGTAGAAAAGATGGTCCGGCTGCTTACAGTGAAGAAGCTAGAAAGTTCGGAGTGGTAGCCGTTTACTTTTGAGCAGAGGTAGTTGGGAGAGTTTTAAAATGTAGGAATTAAAGAGAAGTGGGCGGGGAGAGAACACCCACTGTGTAATTCCTTATTTAATTTTCCTTTGTTTTTACGTTTTACCTCGAAAAAAATTGACGGGTGTCGACCTCTCAGAATATTTACCGGCCACCGTTTAAGTCGACGTGGGAGAAAGGAAGCCTCTATGTTTTCTAGCAGCGTGAAATGACACACGGCGTCGAATGCCATAGAAAAATCCAACGCTACTGGGACTATTATCTCACAGTAGCGGTTACAATATAGACCACGAGTTATTTGAGTGTTTATGACGTTTATTGCTGCAGTAGCATTTGCAAGGCCTCTAATACTTTCGCGACGGGGAAAGGATTGTTATCGGCCGATAAAACTAGCCGTTGTTGACAGGTTTCCGCGCAGTGGAATCACTGACCCAGAATCCACCTGTCAGGTATGATCAGAGTGGTCATTGCCGTGTTGAGGACCTTGGTGAGGTACTATAAGCCCCCTGCCCCAAATCTTTTCAGCTTCATAATGCGTATTCCATCGGGACCAATTGCTTTAGTGGCTTTTGCCTTTCTGGTAGTCACCCGGCCCTCACCGCCTGGTGAAAGCAATAAGCGCACTTTATTTTGGCAGTTTGCGCAGCCTTCTGATCACTAGATGTTTGGCTCCGCCCAATAGAGAATGCAAAACGAATTGCCGGCTAAAATAACTGTCGCATCGCTCTGGCTACGGCGAGGCAGACATCGTTCTTCATTGGGTAGGACCGTGACCTTATGATTGACCAAAGCTTGCTCACAATAGAGGCAAAGTGTCAACACTTCTTGCGTCTATAGTGGTTTACTATCTGCCGAATCTCTGCATTAACATCCTGCACTGAGAACTCCTTTTTCGTTTTGTGAAGCAGCAAGATTCTGCTGACTTTGCACATCACTGATACGGGTTCGATTCCTGCTGGAGTCTAGAGAATGAAACCTGAACAAAAGATGTGGTGATTACCGAAATAGCCTTTTTCAAAAAAAAAAAAAATAAAAATACCGTTGGAACAAATATTATTACGCCACAATAAGTAATAATAACACGAAATTATTTTTCTTCGTCCGNCGATATCTGGCTCCGTCCAATAGAGAATGTATTAATATCCTGCACTGAGAACTCCTTTTTTGTTTTTGTGAAGCAGCAAGATTGTGCTGACTTTGCACATCGCTGATGCGAGTTCGATTCCTGCTGGAGTCTAGAGAAAGAAACCTGATCAAAAGATGTGGTGATTACCGAAATAGCCTTTTTCCAAAAAAAAAAAAAATTACCGTTGGAACAAATATTATTACGCCACAATAAGTAATAATAACACGAAATTATTTTTCTTCGTCCGAGTATTTTCATTTACATCATTTTGTTGGCTACGAGAAAAATCCGGCAAAGAATGCGGCAAAAATTGTAAAATATCGTCGACTGGTTGATAGCAAGACGCACGAGTTGTCAAACCAATCATTGACCATGCACCTGGCATTAGCATTCGGCATCGATTTGAAGCCAAGAAGGCAATAAATACAAAACATACATAAATATTCATACATATGTATGTAGTAGGTAGTTAGATATATAAACTATGCATATTTGTAAGTATTTAGTCGCGTTTGTGCAGCCGGAAACCATGTGGGCAATAAAGATCATCCAAAGTGTCTGGAAAATTTCCATCGGAAAAATACTTGTTGCACTTTGATTAAATCAGAGACTGCCTCAATGCATTTCTACGCTTAGCAGCAGCAAAAATACGCAGTTGCATGTATGTACATACGTAGATACAACCATACGCATGTAGGCAAGCGCGACAAGCTGAGTTTAACGCGTGCCTAAATTGTTGCCACAAACCAAAACTAAAAAAAAAAACACCAAAACAAAAGTGAGAAACGCCTAACGACAACTGACGTAGTTGTTGCTGCCACAACTAACTAATGACTCTGACTATTGCCACGAGCCACGAACAACAATAATAACATCAGCTACACATATTTAAAAGCATACCATCAATATAGTGGAGTGTAGAAAATGTCGCCAGCTCGCAATCGACCAACTGGCAACAGGAATTGGTGGCTGTACCGGCCGTATGCAATTGGCATCAAGAAAAATTACAACAACATGTTGCAAATGCCACTTGTAGCTAACTGCCTGGCTAGCTGGCTGGCTGGCTGAAAGTCGCCCATGTGTGCACGTTGTGTGTACGCGTACAATAATTTCATGAAAAATTATATTACAATTTTGTTGGTGTCACAGATGGCGCCAAGGCGTTGCCACAACGCTGCAATGTTCAATGATAAATTTGACAGTTTATTAGTTGCAAACGAGTGATTCGCTGGTTTTACTAGTGGTGTTGCATTTTTGTTGTTGGATTTTTTTTGTTAGATCAGAACATTGGCTCTCTGTGTTGCTTGCTGTGCCTGTTAAACGTTGTTGTAATATGTACGAGGATGTGTGACATGACAAAAGATAGAACAAAAATAACTGTACGGGTATTTTTAGATATTTTCATTCAGATAGATGTGGTAGTTTCTTTTTAGTTTTCGTGTGTTGATTACGTTGCTTGTTGATTATTGTGTACAAAAATTTTCCGTTTATTTCAGATTTTTTAATACGTATCTACATACTTTCATTGGCGGTTAAGAATTAGAATTATTTAAATTAGTGTATGAAAAAGTACTCAGACTCTGAACTGGTCACAAGATTTAATATTTCATCCTGCAAGTTTGTAATGTCTGAGCGGTTAGGTTAGCTTAGATGGCAGATCCATGTGTCAGGGGCTCACCAATACTTAATCGATAAAACGTCTCGTGCCGATTATGTAATTACAAATTCGCCTAATCTCAATGCCCCAGATCTCCAAAGGGATATTACGGATTTGAGAGCCGAAGTACACTTCAACCTTAGTCTCACAAATGCTGGCCACCTAAAAGGTAATGTTGAGCTGATTCCACCTCGCCATCTTCCAGGCAACTGCGACATACGGGATCAGGTAATATGTTCAGCCTTAGATTAGGTTAGGTTGTCGCGGTCGTCTGTAAGACAAACTTAGGATTGAGGCTCATTGTGATGCCGCATGTGGGCGTGTGTAGCTTCCAATCGCTCCTAAAACCATTTAGAACTTTGCAGGAATTTTAGAAGGTCCCTGATTTCAACGCATCTATGGTGCTCCAGTTAGTCGAAGAATTGTCTACCCAGATCTGGATAGATCAGGGCGTTTCATCGTCTTCTTCATCTTACAACTTCAACAGAAGTCACGTAATCGTACGCCTAGTCCGTAGACATGCTTGCCAATTAGGCAGTATCCTGTTATAAACGCTACTAACAAACTGATATTCTGCTTATTTAAGCTCAGTAGTAGGCCTGTGCGTTTAGCGCTGAGCGCCGGCCATAGTTTCCTGGCAGTTTTGCAGGTGATTTTGTCAAGCGATCTATCGTTCGCTACTTTAGTGAGCTTCTCGGAAATAAGTATCTTGCAAGTTTGTAATGGTATTCCTATATACCCTCAATAGGTAGTTTGGTGCCAAGTCGCGCCAGTTCATCAGCCTTACAGTTCTTTTCATCGCCGCTGTGTCCCGGAACCCATATCACCTTTGGGCGAAATCTCTCAGCCATCTGGTTAAGAGATGTGCTACCATGGAGGTTGTCGACTGCTTCGTAAGGGATTTGGTTGTTCAGCCTTACTGCGTTAACACTGATTTCACAGTGACCCGTTAAAACCCCACCTGAAGTGAAAGCTGTGGCTTGTAAGTGTGAGGAGTGCACACGACCGCCCCCTGGCCACCTTCGGTTAGAAGGATCTTGCACTCGCGCACGTTATATTTTTCGCCCAGCGCTCGCTGAGCTGACATGAGGCCCATATTTTCAAAAGTGTACCACAAGGGATCAATGGCACTCCCAGCCGCTATAAAAATCCGGCGGTAACATTTCAATAATCGGAACTCAATGTAGCCTACAATAAAAGTTGATAGCAACCGCTTCCGCCTGAAATACAGCAGCAGTCCGTTAGCCTTAACTTAGTACTGATTGCAAGCTATCGACAGAAGACCCTTCCACCAACTCTACCGTCCAGTTCCGATTCACTGCTCCCTCTCTCCAAAACTTCCGCCCGGCCCAATCCTCCCTTGAGAGAAAGTGGACAGAGAAGAAGCTCCTAGGAGCCATTTCAGTGGAGCAGTAATCCCTGCGATCAGGGATGAGATCGAAGCCCCCTAGAACTACAGAGTGTCCGGCCCGAAAGTCGGTCAACCTTTCGATTTCCCTGAGTCTTATAGCTGTTTTCGACGCGAAATTTTGCCTGCAATGCCGACAAGCACTACGTTCAACAGTTTGTTAAGTGCTAATATATGGTGGTCTGAGAGGAGACTTAGTACTTCTTTATGTATCTTTATCCGATAATGTTATTTGAGTAATTAGAAGCACTACTAGAAAGAGACAGTATGAGGGGATCCGAAGAAAACATGAGGGCATGCATTAGGTCTTCCTTCGTATTTTTTCGGAATGTCTTGCGAGTACGACTCTGCTGGCAACTTCTATAATTATTTTTTCTGGCTTCGCGCTCTTTCTCCAACATGATGCCAGTTGGGAGGCAAATGTGGTTTATTATTTATTTATTTATTTGTTTCAGCTCCATGTATTTGTATCTTATGATTGCCGTCACAGTCTGTTGACTATCACTGAATAGGTCGCTCACTAATCCCATACTTACCAAGGTTCAAAGGGCAGAAGGCATGCTAGTCATAGGTGCGCTGCCATCCACATCCACCAAAGCCATGGCCGATACGTTTAGATCGCCAGATTACACAACACTGCCACCATCTGCACGGATAGCTCTAAACTAAATCTAAGAGTAGGGAGTGGGATACACCCATAGGGTCTCTCATTAAACCTCTGATTTAGGCTGCCAGACCACCGCAGTATCTTCCAAGCAGAACTTCAACAAGCAGTCTCCCACAGCCAAGAAGCTATAAAGTCACTATATTGCTGTGGAACTTCATCAAGAACTTCGATAGAATGTAGGAAACTCCTTAACGATTTAGCTTCAAAGTCTACTACCCACATTTTGTGGCTGCCAGACCACAGAGACATACAAGCCAACTGTAAGACTAGCTTGCGGTGAAGGGAACCACTATGCCTGAGGTCAAGGCAAAAACAAGTTCCAAGTGACCGAATCTATAACTGCTTGATGGGAAGACATGCTGACATAATGGACTTACCGGCGACTAACTTCTGCCGAAGCTGCCGCGGCGACAAGGAAATTGAGAGTTGTGAACACTAACTCGGTTACTGCCCTGTCCCATCCAGGGCAAGAAGGCACTCATGAATACTCCCGCTGCAACGGGCCCACTGGGTCTAAGAGTGGCTCTCACCTACGATGAAGGCAGTAATAGATCCTATAATTACGCTAAATCTTATTATAATACCTGCACTCACGTCTGTGAGAAAAATTTTCTCGCTGTGTTTCTGTTATTTGTATTCCCAGTACAAGACATTGGAGTATCCACTATCAAGGACATTTCTGCCTAAGCTTGTTATAAATAGCTAGTTTCCTCTTATCAACAATGTTTTTATGTGAACCCCGAACTTGCCAATTTTTAATCCCTATAAATCACCTTCTGAGATTAAATGTGCTCAGCAAATGAGGACGATTCTGCGATAACTACAGGGCTTTGTCAAGCGTTTTGTTTAAAAGACTAAATCCCACCAGCAATGACCTGGCTGGGCCTGATGAAACAACTATATACCAGGTATTCACCATACGCCANACTGAGTTTAAATGTGCTCAGCAAATGATTACGATTCTGCGATAACTACAGGGCTTTGTCAAGCGTTTTGTTTAAAAGACTAAATCCCACCAGCAATGAACTGGCTGGGCCTGATGAAACAACTATATACCAGGTATTCACCATACGCCAAGCCTTGTAAAAGACCAGTGAAAGGAGGATCGACATTCACCATTTCTTTGTCGACTTCAAATCTGCTTCGGACAGCACGAAATACAGTTGGCTTTCTACCGCAATGTTAGAATTGGAATCAGCTCCCTCAGAACTGACCCTTGCAGTATTCGAGGTAAAGATTCTGCAGACGATGGAACCATGAGATATAAGAGCTTTACAATGACATAAACATAGCTCATAGTATTTTCCAAAGCCAAACCAGCCTTGTACATATTCAGTGCCGGGCCCGGATTTCCGGCCCTCGCAACAGCAAATTCTTCTTTGTCAAGTTCCATAGGAATAGATAAGATTAATAAGGTTAAGGTCAGTTGAAATCATTTTGAAGCTTTTATGAAGCGTAGCATTGGTTTCATTCTTATAACGGATAGTTCCGTAAGAGCTAAAGAAGTGTTTACCTAAAAAGCCTGCTCTGCTCTTAGCCACAGCTGGCCACCTGCCGAAGGAATATTCGACAGTTTCTTCCTCTTTGTGATCTCTGCAACTTCTGCATGTTTATAGCCTCGAAGAATGTCTACCAACTAACCAATGGCGGGTTCACAAGCCATGACCTTCGAAATGTCTGCTCTGGAGAGGCTGAGCATTTCTTCTGTTGTTTTCTGATGAGTTTGCGTCCGTAGTAGCCCAGTTGTTATACAAGTGCCCTCAGCTATCCATGGCCTATTGGTCTCTTGAATAATGTTATTTCTGTTCCTTAATTTGCAGATTGCAATGCTTGCAATTTCTGCCACCTCCTTAAAAGCTACAACCCAGGAAATCTCCTTGGGATGCAACCACCATGTTTTTCCGACGAGCTGTTTAGTGGTTAACAACGATTTCATTGCTTTTTTGATAATTGAGTAGAGATGTGATTCCCAAGTGAGTTTTCTATTCATGGTTATGCTTAGATATTTGACATCTTCCTTTAGGCGAACACAGTCCCGTTTATGTTTAGGTCTGGAAAGCACAGCTTCCTTTTCCTAATGAAAGCGATGATTGTAGTTTTATTGGGATTTATAGACAATCCCTCTCTACCACACCAATTGTTTAGGTAGGGCGTCCTGCATTACCTGCACTGAGTAACTGAAGTATTACATCAGCCTCTATAGACCACAACAGTGGAAAAACACTCCTCCATGTGGACTCCGGTGATGCTGAGGTTCGCCTTGATTGTGCTCTGGGTAAGCATGTAGCCAATCCATTCGACTATTTTGGAATTGGCACCTCTATTGAACAGAGCCACTTCCATGGATTTGAAGCAAGCATTGGCAAAGCCACCATAATGTCCATGAATGAGCAGATGGCAATCCCCTTTGATGCAAATGCCTTTTCTAAGCGTATTGATGTTTATGCAGTGGAGAGCGAGTGAAAATATCCTCCCCTTTAGCTGGTGGTCCAGAAGTTCTTCCAACGTATTTTTAACCTCTTGTCGCTCAGTTGGGTTTTTTAAAGTTGACTGCCATATGTATTAATTACTGAGGCGAAGGCTAAGATCCCTCTTTGATATGAGTTCTAGATATTTAACAATCTCCTTCGAAGGAATATCAAGTGAACTATGCTTTGCGGTGTGCCCTTAGGCGCGTTTTTGTTGACCGATGTTCCACCATTTCGCACGAATTCTGCCCGAGATTCAAAAGGTCCTAGCTAATAATAATAAGTAGCTGGTAGAAAGTGCTTTTAAGATCAAGTTTTTGCAATATTATGCACAATTTGATGTAACGCAGTATCAACAGCTGTGCCTTTTGAGTAGTCGTGCTAACAGTTAGAAAGCTTTATTAGATTTGGTCACTGGATTTCACCTGGGTGCGCATTCCTACTTTAGATGCTCGGTCATCTCATTTAGAGATCTACTGCATTTAGTAAAAGAACTTTTTGCATTATCCCTGTGCGAGTCCAAAACTATTTATACAGGCTGTCTGACGATCAGAGCAAATTAATAAGACAACTTTTCTCTTTGCAGCTATTTGAATAAGGCTGCATACAGCTAACTAACTTAAGCTGAGGATCAAAAGTTCGAAAATTGCTCGCAATTTATATTTACCTCTAACATTGATTGCCGTTTTAAGATTATAGAATTCTTCTTATCTAATAAAACTTAATGAATATTACTGTAGAATAAATAACCTCGCCAATAACACTTTTTAATCTTCTTTCAATTTCCAGCTTCTTGCAACGGTGTGAAATGCCTCGGTGGTCTTACATGTGTCGAAGATCAATATACCATACCACACTGTATCGCTTGCAAAATCGATTGCCCCGAAGATGATGCTGCCGCGGCTGCCTCGCACGCAATTGACCCAAAGCGCGCTGTGTGCGGTGTCGATGGCAAGACATACCGTAGTGTTTGTGATATAAATCGAATGATTTGCAAGAGTGGACGTTCAATTGCCGTCGCATATCCGGGACCGTGTCGGGGTAAGTGTCAACGTCACACATACATATAAGTATATGTTTACGTATGGCAAATGCAAATAAGGCAACAGGGTCAAGAAGCAGCCCTTCAGCAATTCAGACTCACCATAGGTCAGCCCACAGATAGTCCCTATTGTTACCAGCACTAGTCTCTCATAATTCCCCTGCCAATGGTTTCAACTGTCATTTTTAACCGACTTCCAAAAAAGGAGGAGGTTATCAGTTCGTCGNATATGGCAAATGCAAATAAGGCAACAGGGTCAAGAAGCAGCCCTTCAGCAATTCAGACTCACCATAGGTTAGCCCACAGATAGTCCCTATTGTTACCAGCACTAGTCTCTCATAATTCCCCTGCCAATGGTTTCAACTGTCATTTTTAACCGACTTCCAAAAAAGGAGGAGGTTATCAGTTCGTCGGAATCTTTTTTTTTTTTTTTTAATGTATGTTACCGCATAACTTTGGACCACGTCAACCGCTTTCGATAATTCTTTTTGCATCGGAAAGGTAGTGTCTCAGAGGTGGTCCCATACTAATTGGTTAAGATCCGATCAGTGGATCATGAGATATATATATATATATTTTTTATATGAGAGTTGAAGTCGGTTTTTCTTTTGCTAAAAATTACTTGTTAGCATTGGCGTGTCATTTGAAAAGGACCGGTCCAATCAACACTGACCGTATGATAGTCCTGGACTATTCCAAATTTTGAGATTTTTTTCGTTGGAGTAAGATTGCGTTCTGCACTTCGCAGATGCT